CTATAAGGAGGTCCTCCATTGTGCATGTGGCAGGGCTCAGGCTACATGATAGTAAGTGGTCTGTGGTTTGCTCTTCTCTACACTCGCATGTCATGGAGTCCACTTTGTGGCCCCATTTCTTAAGGTTGGGTCTGCATCTCGTGATGCCAGAACACAGTCTGTTCAGTGCCTTCCAAGTTGCCCAGTCTTCTGTGTGCCCAGGAGGGAATCTCTCATTCACTATCAGCCATGGTTTGAGGTTCCAGATTTTTGCTTGCCACTTTTGGACTCTTGCTTGCTGAGGTGTACCTCTGAGTATCTCTGTAGATCTTAGGAAACTATTTCTTGATTTAAGGTATTGGCATGCTGGTTGATATCCAAACAGTGTATGGGCCAGAGATGTCACTACCTTGGTTCTTTTATTATTGGTGGCTACTGGTGGATGTCAGGTGGTGCAATACCGGCTAAACCAGTGTTTCTCAATCTGGGGGTCGGGACCCTTGGGGGTGTCCTGAAACGGGTTTCAGAGGGGTCACTAAAAACCATCAGAAAACACATATTTCTTATGGTCTTAGGAACACCTGAAGATCTCTCTGCCTGTCCTCTTCTTTTTTTGGAAACACATGGCGAATCCTCCCACCAAAAGCCCTCCTCCTGCTGCGATTGTAGGTAAACCATAAATACCAGCAACTACAACTCCCAAATGCCAAGGTCTATTTCCCCAAAACTCCGTCAGTGTTCACATTTGGGCATATTGAGGATCCGTGCTAAGTTTGGTCCAGATCCATCATTCTTTGAGTCCACATTGGCTCTGGATGTAGGTGAATTACAACTCCAAAACTCAAGGTCAATGCCCACCAAACTCTTTCAGCATTTTTTCTTGGTCGTGAATTATGTGTGCCAAGTTTGGTTCACTTCTATCATTGGTGGAGTTCAGAATGCTCTTTGAGTATAGGTTAACTATAAATCCCAGAAACTACAACTCCCAAATGCCAAGGTCTATTTTCCCCAGACCCCAGTAGTATTCATATTTGGGCGTATCAGGTATTTGTGCCAAATTTGGTCCAGTGAAAAAATCAATCTCCTGCAACCCCATACTATTCAAATTTGGGTGTATTGGGTATTTGTGCCAAATTTGGTCCAGTGAATGACAATGTATTCTCCATATCAGATATTTACATTACGATTCATAACAGTAGCAAAATTACAGTTATGGAGTAGCAACAAAAATAATTTTATGGTTGGGGTCATCACAACATGAGGAACTGAATTAAGGGGTCGTGGCATTAGAAAGGTTGAGAAACACTGGGCTAAACAGTATACTTTCTCCAATGGTGTAGGGCATAGACAACAACATCCTGTGATAATGTGGTAGACCTCTTGTGATAATGAAGCAACCAGAAGTCTCAATTGCTGTTGCCCTTCCTCCCAAAGGAGCTGCTACTGCCTTCTGGTCATATGGTGATACTTTTCTTCATCTCCTTCCATGTAGTTTCTGAACTGCAGTGACTGTCCTCCAAGTTCAGTCACACTCTACATTTGTATTGTGAAAGAGCATTAGGTTAGTGAGAGTTTTAGATTCCTCTCCCAATGACTTCCATGACTTTTTCAGAGCGAAGTGGGTCGTCCTTTGCTTTGAGCCATTCACCTCAACCCCAAGAATGGAAATTGTGCCTTTTCTTCCAGAGCCACTCTCCCACTAATACCCACATTGTATGCTGATACAATCAATTCATTTAAACTTGCATGATTAACTAAGATGCTTTTAATTAGAATACAGCTCTAACAGGATTACATTCCCCCTCTCCGTTTGAGCCGGGCCTGCCCTTATTTATTCTAGCAGCCAAGGCACATCTTAAAGGCACTGTGAGATTCAAAGCATGGCAATACTTGAAAAGATTTCCACAAAAGAGATAAATTTCTCTCTATTACAAGACCGACACACGAAAGGGATTTAAACTACAGAGAAGTAATTTCGGATCAGATAAAACGTCTTAACCAAAGGAGGAGTTATCCAAATAGAGCAAGGTGCTCAGGGAAGATGGAGAATTACTTTTCGTGGATCCTTTTATGAAGAGCTTGGATAAAGATTTGGTTTAGGCACAGCAAATCCGGCCTCCGTTATGGGATTGGATTGAACTAGATTATTTTCAAGGATCCTTTGCAATGTTCTGTGTCCTGACTCTTAAAAATCATTCTAATACACAACTGTGGCTCTCCCTCCCACCTCACCGGAAGAGAGAAAAGGGCTTTCTGAGCATTTAATAATAATAATAATAATAATAATAATAATAATAATAATAATACTTTATTTGTACCCCGCTACCATCTCCCCAAGGGACTCGGTGCGGCTTACATGAGGCCAAGCCCACAACACATCAATAAACAAAAGCGATAACAAATAATCAATACAGAACAGTTAAAATAAAACTCAAAAACAAAAAATACACAATAAGCAAAAAACAATAACAATAACATACAGCATTTAAAAACCTATGGCCGGGCCAAATGTAATAATTTAAAATTTAAAAAATAATGCTGGGCATGAACAAGGTAGGGTATAACTAGGATAGGGTTTTCAAAGAAAATGAGGGCACGCAGGAAAATCCTAAATCAATATTAAAGTGCATTTGATGACATATTGCTAAGAGTTTTCCTCTGGAACACACTGGAACAATCATGTTTTCAGGCTCCTCCTAAAGACGGCCAATGTTGGGGCATGTCTGATGTACTTAGGGAGTGAATTCCAGAGTCGAGGGGCCACCACAGAGAAGGCCCTCTGATGTACTTAGGGAGTGAATTCCAGAGTCGAGGGGCCACCACAGAGAAGGCCCTCTCCTTCGTACCCACCAATAGTGCCTGCGAAGGAGGTGAGAGCATGAGCAGATTCCTTGCCTAAGAAAACCCTATGAAATTCCTGGGGTTGCCATAAATCAACAGGCAACCAGGAAAATACATACAAATGCACACAGAGGAATCCTATCCAGTTTTCCATCTGAATCCATTTTACACTATACAAGTTTAGCACTATGAGTCCACACTGCCATATAATCCACTTCAAAGCAGATAATCTGGATTTTATATGACAGTGTAGAAGGGGCCTAAGGGTGGATCTAGACCAGGAGGTCCTCAAACTTTTTAAACAGGGGGCTAGTTCACTGTCCCTCAGACCACTGGGGGGCCGGACTATAGTTTTGAAATAAAAACTATGAAAAATTCTCCTATGCACATCTTATTTTGAAGCAAAAAACAAACAAAAACAAAACAGGAACAAAAACAATATTTAAAATGGAGATCAAATAAAGTGAAATCAACAAACCCTTCAGTATATCAATGGGAACTATGGGCCTGCTTTTGGCTATGAGATGGTCAATGTCCGGTTCCATATTTGTCACTGCTAGTCGTAACAAGTGATACAAGTGTGCATCCGTTAGTCTAGATCTGGTTGGAGATTTCAGATGTTTCATTCTAAAAAAAGTCTGTTCACAGACATAAGTGCTGCCAAAGATGGTTGCCATTTTGAGTGCATGGTTCCTGAATTAGGATAGGTCTCAGAGGGGAGAGATGCATAGAAATTAGGAAGTCTGCTTGACTTGAATGCATCTTTCAGAGAGTCACAATTCTGCAGTTCAGCCAGTTCCATTTGCTAAATTGTATCCACATTTTCAATGTCAATGGAAAATGGGTTACAGAAAAGCTGCATGTCCTGTCCATGGAGATGAAGCTCTTTAAATCTAAATTGAATCCACACATGTTTTGTTTAGGAATGCAACCAATGGTTTTTCTGCAAACAGATTTTGAGTTGTGGGGAGATGGCAGAAATTTCCCTCATTCACTTGTTTGATGAGGCCCAGCACATCTTGGGGATGTGGGGGACTCACCCTTCTCCACACCCAGCGGGCCGGATAAATGTCTTTGGTGGGCCACATGTGGCTCGTGGGCCGTAGTTTGAGGACCCCTGATCTAGACTGTACAATTAATGCAGTTCAATTGCACTTTAAATGCCATGGTGATTCATGAAAATCATTTTCTGCCTCCTGCAGAATTCTGGGGTTTGTAGTTTAGGGAGGAGCTCTTAACGGCCTCAGTAAACTACAAACCCCAGAATTCTGCAGGAGGCGGAAACTGGATTTTAAGTGGATTTTTTTCTCTAGTGTGATGAAGTTCCTGGCTCAATGGTATGGAATCCTGGGATTTTTAGTTTGGTGAAGCACCAGATTCAAGATCTTTTAAAACTACAACTCCCAGAATTACACACCACTGAACCCCCAGCAATTAAAGTGACATTGTGTTGCATTAATTCTACAGTCTAGATCAGAGGTTCCCAACCTTTTTTGACTGGGGACCACTTGACCAGGGACCACTTTGATAACGGATCACTCTCCAACATTAGTACCAAAACAGTTACGAATCAGGTTTTTTTGTAAACTTTAGATTTGGTTTGGTTATTTGGGGTGCTCATTCCGAAAATGGCATTGGATCGACCATATCAGCTCTAGTTTCTGATACAGAACATATGCCATCCAGTAGTCACCATCTGCTTGCCCACAGAAAACCATATTTAATAAGTCTCAGAACTATAAGAGGGTTTCGTGAGACCAGTCGCTCTCGTTTCAATGGTGTGGTAACAGTGAGGTTGTGGACCATATTTTAGTTCTTACAGATCACTGGTGATCCACAGACCACAGATTGGGAACCACTAGTCTAGATGCACCCTTAGGCCCTTCTATATTACCATATAAAATCCAGATTATCTTCTTTGAACTGGATTATATGGCAGTGTAGACTCATATAATCAAGTTCAAGGTGAATTATCTGCTTTGATAATCTGCATTATATGGCAAATCCTAAGATTCTGTAGGACCTTGGTACATGAAGAGAAAATACTATAACCATGCCCTTGGCAACCATAATCTGTGAACCAAACAGAAAGTATATGTCAGCAAATCTGTCCAGGAGAAAAGAGATAGGATAACATACATCCACATAGATAACAATACAAGAGAAACAAGAACGCTTACCAATGACATAGGCCAGTAGCAGTGCCAGCGTGACTGTGATAGCTGTTGCACTCAAGGCAGTACATTTCCAGTTGCAACATCTGTAGGGTTTGTTGAAAGAGAACGCCGGTCTAGAAAAAGTACTTCTAGGAAGCGGTCGAGGAGGCGGAGAATAAACAGTATTGGAAGTCAAAGGATAGTTCTGGCTGGCAGCGCTAAAGATAGCCGACGACCCCGATCCATGTTTAAATAGGAAGTGCCTAAAGGGGAAAAAAAAGAGAGACAGCCATGTTGTAACAGCCCAACATGTACAGCGAGTGGTTGAAATACCTATATGAAACACTGCTGCAATACACTAAATACTGATAGAGATATGGACTCGAATGTTAGACAATGGTTCCAGTGAGGCTCACAAGCAAAGAATCATATGCAGCCCAACCTTTTACTCCTATTCATGCTTCCTTAGAAATACATCTCATTATTTTCTTGGGTTGTACCCCCAGAGAAATACATTTAGGACTACATTATTAGGCCTTTCTCCATAAACACAGAGCAATCAATATCCCTTTCATAATAAAAAATTAAAAGATCTACTTGGTTTTTAAAAATGTATTTAACTGGCCTTGACACTGCTCAGAAGAGGGACAACAGTGAGAATCAGGCCCATTCTCTGCTACTCCAAAAAGTAGGACCAGATCTAATGGTTTTAGTGGGTTGCTGTGAGTTTTCCAGGCTGTATGGGCATGTTTCAGAAGCATTCTCTCCTGATGTTTTGCCCACATCTACGGCAAGCATCCTCAGAGGTTGTGAGGTCTGTTGGAAACTACGCAAGTGAGATTTATTTATCTGTGGAATAATGTCCAGGGTGGGAGAAAGAACTCTTGCCTGCTTGAGGCAAGCGTGACTTTTTATAATGGGTTGTTGTAGGTTTTTTCAGGCTATATGGCCATGTTCTAGAGGCATTGTCTCCTGACGTTTCGCCTGCATCTATGGCCAGCATCCTCAGAGGTAGTGAGGATGCTTGCCATAGATGCAGGCGAAATGTCAGGAGAGAATGCCTCTAGAACATGGCCATATAGCCCGGAAAAAACCTACAACAACCCAGTGATTCCAGCCATGAAAGCCTTCGACAATACATTAATTTTTATAATGTTTCTAAGAGGATAGATCTTGACTGAAATATTTGATGATAGGAGTGGTTCGGCAACAGAACTAGAGAGATAGTGGGGTCTTCTCTCTGGATGTCGTCCAAAAGAAGCTGGGGATGCTTTAGCTGGAGATCTTACAAGTCCATGGTAACACAGTGGTTTAAACTGCTAGCTGCAGAAAAGCTGCTGACCAGAAGGTTGGCAGTTCAAAGCCGTGAGTTGGGGTGAGCTCTCAACTGTCAGCCCTAGATCCTGGCAACCTAGCAGTTCGAAATTATGCAATGCGAGTAGATCAATATGTACCACCTCGGCAGGAAGGTAAAAGGGTGCCCCATGCAGATATGCTGGCAACACAACTGGAGATGTCCATGGAGAACAGGCTCCTTTGCATGGAACAATAGCACCTCCCCATGTCCAGAGTTGAGCGTCGCCTCCAGACGCCGGAGATGGAAAAAGGGGAAGCCCTTTACCTTTGTGTTGTATGTCAATGTTCACTGTGTGTGTAAAAAGGCATTGAATGTTTGCCTCATATGTGTATTGTAATCCACTCTGAGTCCCTCTGGGGAGATAAAGTGGAATATAAATTAAACGTATTATTATTATTATTCATTGAGCAAATTGTTGGACTGAATGGCTATGATTCTATCCTATGAATGTATATATAAACACAGCATATTTTTTTGGAAACCTTAATCAAAATATCAAAAACGGACACTTCTAAACAAACTTCCCCACTGTGAAAAAAATTAGCAGAAAAAAATGTGAAATACAGTGTCGTATAGAAGTGCACATGACATTCCTCCACATATTGCTGCAAAACACAACTGAACCCAGTTGCAGCCTGATCCTAATCCTTTGGATGGCAATAAGCAGATTCTCAAAGCGGCTTTGGACTTTCCACAGAAGTGCTGCCAGATGCCTGGTCAGTCTCGTCCATGGTTGTTTTGCCAGAAAGACATTCCAAATTTAGTCATAAATGCCTGTGGTTTTCACAATACGTTTATAAGGAGAATTCTTGCAGCTTCTGAACCTTATGAAGATAGGAATATTGAAGCTCTCCAGATGGTGTTGGACTACAAACCCCAGAAATCCTAGCCAGCATAGACAATGATGAGGAATGCTGGGGATCGTAGTTCAACCACATTGATTTGTTGATGTATATCCCACTTTTATACCAGAATACGCTTCTGAACAGCCAGATTACTCCTATCTCACAACAAACCTTGAAAACATGGAATCATAGAATCCTAGAGTTGGAAGAGAACTCGTGGGCCATCCAGTCCAACCTTCTGCCAAATTGCATTCAAGGTGAATCTAAATTCTATCTCAGCCAAGACCAGCCAAAGTCAATAGGTACATATATTCTTGGAGGAAAATGCTATTTTTTTGCATTTAAGTTTTAAGACATTAAAAAACTTTTTATGGGTGCATCTCCTCTGCAGAATTAATGTAGGACTTGAACTGCTGTTGCTCAACGAACCTGTAAAACTACAACTCCCAAGATTCTGTAGCATTGAGCCATGGCAGTTAAAGTGCTCTCAGCTGCATTAATTCTACAGCATAGAAAAAAAACCTCCAGCACTAATAGTGAGAATTCCACAGAAGTCCAAACCCAGAGTTTTGAAAATTGAGGTTCAATACCCTGAATATGTTATGTCTGATTTTTTTCCATTTCCGAGTTGAGTCTTCAAATCTATCCTGAATATGAAGCAATTTGTTATTTGTTTGTTCCTTAAAAAAAAAAAAAAGATGAAATGCAATGTAATGCTAAATGATTACATCAGGGTCACTGGGCTCATCCATATTACATGCATTATTTATTTATTTGGACTGATTTGGATTATGTTTTGAACTGGCAAACTTTTTTTAATTGAATGCTTATAATTGTTTATTATTTATTCACTACACTTATATCTTGCCTTTCTCAACCCTGAAGGGGACTCAGGGTGGCCTTGCAAAGGCAACAATTTGATGCCGCGCATACACATATCATCAATAGATTAACAAACACATTAAACATTAAAACCAACTAGACTTTTTTTCATGTCAGGAGTGACTTGAGAAACTGCAAGTTGCTTCTGGTGTGGGAGAATTGGCCGTCTGCAAGGATGTTGCTCAGGGGACGCCTGGCTGTTTTGATGTTTTACCATCCTGTAGGAGGCTTCTCTCATGTCCCCGTATGGGGAGCTGGAGCTGACAGAGGGAGCTCAATCCACTCCCCCTTTATTCAAACCGTTGACCTATTGGTCAGCAGCCCTGCTGGCACAGGGATTTAATTCATTGTGCCACTTAATAATAATAACATCATTTAATAATAATAATAATAATAATAATAATAATAATAATAATACTTTATTTATATTCTGCTCTATCTCTCCAAAGGGACTCAGGGCGGATATGCAACTTTAAGCAACAATTTAAAATCACATAATCCAGGTCATAATCCAGGGCCAGTCTCAGTCATCAATGTTAATTTATAGTCTCTTATTGCCCTGCTCCCATTATCTCCCATTGTACTGTGTTACCAGCTAATAACGCAGCCAATTTTCTCCATATCACAGTCAATAGAACATCACCCCCTTCGAAGTACATAGCTGAGTTGATTTATATAAAGGTAAAGGTAAAGATTTCCCCTTTACATTAAGTCTAGTCATGTCTGATGTGGGAGCTGGTGGTAATCTCCATTTCTAAGTCGAAGAGCCAATGTTGTCCATAGACACCTCCTATGTCATGTGGCCTGCATGACTGTATGGAGCACTGTTACCTTCACATACCTTTACCTTTAACTTTATATAAAGGTAAAGATAAAGCTTTCCCCTTGACATTAAGTGTAGTCATGTCTGACTCTAGGGGCTGGTGCTCATCTCCAGTTCTAAGCCAAAGAGCCGGCATTGTCCATAGACACCTCCTAGATCATGTGGCCAGCATGACTGCATGGAGCGCTGTTCCCACAGAAGAGGTACCTATTGATCTACTCACATTTGCATGTTTTCGAACTACTAGGTTGGCAGAAGCTGGGGCCAACAATGAGAGCTTACCCTATCCATGGATTCACACCGCCAACCTTCCGGTCAGCAAGTTCAGCAGCTTAGCAGTTTAACATGCTGCGCCATTGTGGCCCCTGTTGATTTATATACTAACATTAATTTAGTAATAATTAATCTAGTAAATCTGAGAAGATTTTGTGCATTTGTATCAAATTGGGAATTTTAAGGCACATAATAATATCTGAAGCAGAACTTTGCAGTTCTTAATATAATAATAATAATAATAATAATAATAATAATAATAATAATAATCTTATATAAATAAAAATGTAATGTTCGTTTGTGGGATTAACAGAACTCAAAAACCACTGGACGAATTGACACCAAATTTGGACACAAGACACCTAACAACCCAATGCATGTCCTTCACTCAAAAAATGATTTTGTCATTTGGGAGTTGTAGTTGCTGGGATTTATAGTTCGCCTGCAATCAAAGAACATTCTGAACCCCACCAACGATGTAATTGAACCAAACTTGGCACACAGTTCTCCCATGACCAACAGAAAATACTGGAAGGGTTTGGTGGGCAGTGTCCTTTGGTTTTGGAGTTGTAGTTCACCTACACATCCAGAGATCACTGTGGACTTTGGTGGGCAGTGTCCTTTGATTTTTGGAGTTGTAGTTCACCTACATCCAGAGATCACTGTGGACTCAAACAATGATGGATCTGGACCAAAGTCTACATGAATACTCAATATGCCCAAATGTGAACACTGGTGGAGTTTGGGGAAAATAGAATCTTGACATTTGGGAGTTGTAGTTGCTGGGATTTATAGTTCACCTACAATCACAGAGCATTCTGAACCCCACCAATGAGAGAATTGGGCCAAACCTCCCACACAGAACCCCCATGTGGGCCACAGCAACGCGTGGCAGGGGACGGCTAGCCTGTATAATAATAATAATAATAATAATAATAATAATCTTTATTTATACCCTGCCACCATCTCCCCAAAGGGGACTTGGGGTGGCTAACATGAGGCCAAGCCCAAAGATACAATACAACAAAATAAAATACAGAATGCAAACAACAAAAATTACATCAAAATAAAATACATACAGGAGCAAAATAAAATAAATAAAACAAATTAACACAATATAAAATCAAACAGAATGGCAGGCCAAATGGATGAGGTAAAATGATAAAACCCTAGATGAGGTAGGAAAGAAAATATGTAATGGAGGGGAACTATTGGTCTATTGGATGGTCCAGGAGAAAAATTAAACACCTAAGTAAGCTGATTGAAAGGCTGTTGTTGACTTTAAGGTTCAACAGAAGCAACTCTTGAGCATTGCAGCTGTATGTTGGATTGATCTCCTCACCATTCGGAAATGTTAACAAAGTCACACAAAGCAGTCCCAAAGGCCACGTCATGAGCTGTGGTCCAACATATTTTGCGATCGCACTGTACAAAACTGGGTTTCAAGCTGATGAGCAGAGTTCTCAGGTCATTGCATTCAGTGGCAGGAAAAAGAAAAAGACAAGGAACCCCTACTGTTTTTGCAAAAAGAGGCTCTTACATTTCGCTTGGCACGAGGGAAGAGACATGGTCCTCCTGATTTCTGGTGGAAGGCATTTCCACAGCCGAGGGCCAGCAAATCCCCCACTGACTTCTGTGGGGCAGCGTCAGGACCACAATGTGGAATAAGGAAAAAGGATATCATAAATGCGTGTTTGTCTTAGTTTCCCAGTCACATTTTTTAAAACGCTGCAGCAGATTCCGTACAAAAGACGGCCAAGAGGCTTAAGCCCCTCATGTCCTTCTGAAAGAGGAGGCCTGTTGGGTTCTGAAACATCAACACACATACATAGCTTGATATCTGCAATGAAGACTGCTCTGAACACCGAACTAAAATCTGTTATAACAGCAATTCCAATTAAGAGTAGCTAGCAATAATGACAGAAGAATGTTAAAGCATCAATTCATAGATGAATGGTATATGTTCAAACAGAAAGGAATAGTTAATAGAATGGCTCAATGGAATCAATATGATGTATATCTTTAAAGCAGAAATTTCAGCATGCAGGTAAGTAGATTCCAACTAATTATGGAAGTGGTTCTCAACCTGTGGGTCTCCAGATGTTTTGGCCTTCAACTCCCAGAAATCTTAATTGCTGGTAAATTGACCGGGATTTCTGGGAGTTATAGGCCAAAACACCTGTGTACCCACAGGTTGAGAACCACTGCTCTATGGGTCTGTACACCTTTCAAACCACTCAGACCTCCTCACACCCCAAGAGGGTTGACTTCTCCATCAGGAGGTACAACACCTCAGGCTAGCAGTCAGCAAGGCTGGACTTAGTCTTGTCACAACTTGTGAGGACTATCATGGATGCAATCCAGACAGCTTAAATCTACTAAATCTACCTTTGTGACTCAGTGAGGAGCTGACCCTGTTTTGATGCCTGCTTCCCTGGTTTTGGACCTTTTGGTTTCACACTCAGATACGGGCCTTGTTCCCTTCCTCCTCGAAATGTTACCCTGTGGCCATTTCATGGAAGGCGGATCTCTCATCGGATCTCACCGACCCATTGGTAGGTCTCTTCCTTCGGAGCTTCAGGAACATAAAACTCTACTTCAATCCTTCATCTCGTCTTGGAATCTGAAAGCTGTGCTTTCTTTGTTGATCAAGCCTCCCATTTATTTATTTATTATTTGAACTTATATGCTGTCACTCCCCTGGGGCTCGGAGCAACTTACAAGAATGACTAAAATCTAACAAAATTTAAAAACAATTTAAAACAATTTAAAAACAGCAATATCAAAAATCAAAGGCCTGTCGAAACAGGTATGTCTTACATGCCCTGCGGAAAGCTGATAAGTCCCGCAAGGCACGGACTTCAGGTGGCAGAGTATTCCAGAGTGATGGTGCCACTGCTGTAAAGGCTCTGCGTCTGGTTGCTGTTAGACGCAAGGTCTTGACAATGGGAATTTCCAATAGATCTTGGTCCTCAGAACCGAGGGATCTCTGGGGTTGGAAGGGGGTGAGGCGGTCCCTCAGGTACATCGGCCCTTTGAGCATTTAGCTTTGATGGATATGTTCTATCTCTTCTGGAAAACAGCCTTTCAAAATGCCTTTACCCCTGTGCATCGTGTGATTGAATGCTACAGGCGGGGGGCCTTCTCGGTGGTGGCCCCCTGCCTGTGGAATTCACTCCCTGGGGAAATTAGGTCATCTCCATCCCTCCTCTCCTTTAGAAAGAAGTTAAAAACATGGATGTGGGATCAGGCGGACTAGGACAATGACAATGAAGACAATTGCTATGGAAATGAACTATGGACAAGCTTGATGGAGTCTCCAACTACAGAATTTGGCTAGACAATGGCCATCAGACTGGTTTTAGTAGATTTTAGTGTATTAACTTAATGTTTTAACTATTTATAATTATTGGTTCTGATATGTATTATATTATGTTTATATGTAGGCATCAAATATGTGCTGGCTGGAAGCCACCCTGAGTCCCCCCCTGCCCCCCAGGGGGTTGAGAAGGGTGGGGTACAAATACCCAAAATAAATAAATAAATACATGAATAAATAATCCTTGTGCACTCCAGGCTGATGAACCCTATCATCTCACAAGGGCAAGGTCGTGCTATGCGCCAACATAGCCTTCCTGCTTAGAGTAGCCTCCCATTTCCAATACTACCTTGCACAATACTTTTAATGTTTTAACTGTTTATTCTTATTAGATTTATTAGTTAAATGTGTCCTACATGTATTATTTGTATACCTAAATTCCAGTTTTGTTGTTTACTTTATTGGTTATGATCCGAATGGTACCAGCCCAGCTTACCTGTCAAAACCTCCTTCTATGATCCACCTCTTCTGGGGAGGCCCTGCTCTCGATCCCACCCACTTTGCTGGCACGACTGGTGGGAAAGAGAGACAGGGCCTTCTCAGCGGTGGCCCCTCAGATATGGAACTCCCTCCCTAGTGAAATCAGAGGAGCCCCCTCCCTCCTGACATTCAGGAAGAAAGTAGCAATGTGGTTATGTGTCCAAGCTTTCTTTTTAAAATGATTTTATTAATAAACTAGCTGTGGCCCAGTCTGTGTACATGTTTTGTGTGTGAATATAGATGTTTAATTATTCATGTATATGTGTGTTTGCGTATATAGTGGTTTTGCACATGCATTTTAATGTATTTTTTGTTTTTTTGGCTTTTTAAGTCTCTTCTGCTGTGTTTTTCAGTGTTTTTATGAGTGATGGTCACTGGTAGGCCTGACAGGTGTCTTGTGTCCAAATCTGGTGTCAATTCGTCCAGTGTTTTTGAGTTATGTTAATCCCACAAATGAACATTAAGTTTTATTTATATAGATTTGAGTTACAAAAGTGAAAATAGAATGTGACCAAGCTTTCTGACAGCAAAGCTCATAGTGCAATAACATAATAAGGAATAGTGAACAGACCAATGGAATGACAATGGATATAATTTTGGATGGTGTGATTTTAATAACTTTTAAAATTGTGTTGTTTATTGGTGGGTTTTAATATAAATGTTATTGCATTCTCAATGTTAAATTTTTGATGCTATATGTCAAAATGTTATTTTATGTTTATGTCTTAATTTGGTTAGGTTAATTTATAGTTATATGTTATTATCTTGTTATTATCTTCCATGTATTCTATTATCTGTATTCTATTATCTTTCACATGTATGTATGGCATTGAATTTTGCCTTTATAATGTTGGAAACCGCTTTGAGTTCTCTTAGGGGGAGAAAAGCGGTATACAAATGTAGTAAATAATTAAATAAATAATGTTTGCCATTTTTTTTGTTGTAACCCACTCTGAGTTCCCTTGGGGAGACAGGGCAGGATAGTTTTATTATACGAGGGTTGAATGAAAAGTAATGCCTCCACCTTCGTTACATGGGTTTGGATGGGAATATTTTAATAAATCAAATGCAGAAATAATCCTTAGAATGCACTCTCTAACTACCACTATTCACTTTTTGACATAATCACCAGACAATTGGATACATTTCTGCCAACAATGAACAAGTTTTCTGAAGCTGTCACTGAAGAAGTCGACATTGTTTCCGTAACCAGCGTCTCAGTTGTCTCATCCTGGGTACCCATCATGCACAGATCTTCCGATAGCCAAGTAAAGCAATAATGTGACCCGCACGTTCTTGTGAAATGCTGATTATGTTTGAAATTTCTCTCTGAGTGATACGGCGATCATCCTGAATCAATCTGTCAAACTTTTGCTTGTGAAACTCGGTGGTTGCTGTCACAGGACGTCCAACTCTTTCTTTGTCACACAAATCAGATGTTTCCACCTCAACATCTTTAAACTTACTCGCTCAACGATGCACAGTACTCACATCAACACAATCACCATTCTCTGATGAATCTCTTTTGGGGTGACACCTTCTGCTGTCAAGAATTCAATGACTGCACGTTGCTTAAGTCGCATTGACCGACCGTCTGATTAGGGTTCCATACTTTGCACTTTACCAACACAACCATTCAATGCTAAGACTTCCCACCAAAATGGAACTGTAGAGGAGAGTCTACTTAACAAGCCAGTACTTGTCACATACCAGTACTGCCATCTGTTGAGGAGTTACGAAGGTGGAGGCATAATTTTTCATTCAACCCTCGTATTATAATTACTATTATCTACACTAGAGCTATCCTGGCTGCTCTTCTCTCTCTCAGTGACATTGGAAAGTAGACAACTTATGAATGGTTGTTCCAGTAATAATTGCTTATAGGGAAGTAGGGCTAAAATGTTCCTTAGTGGGACCTTCTCATCCTAAATCATAGCCACAACCTTATCATAGCAGCCGTCCTTCAAAGAAGACCTTGCTCAAACTAATTGGGCTCATGGATTACGTTGCATTTGGACGTGGAGAAGAATCAAGATGGGAGGCTCGCTTCCCTTCTGTTTACAACAATTTGAAGACAATGCTTGCGTACTCAGGCACAATCAACGTCTCATTTCCATTTCATAATATGTGCTTTTTTTGCACGCAGACGCTGGTACATAAACAAATTGAGAAATGATTATGACTGCTTGATTTGATATTTGGATGTCACCTTGAACATTTTGAGATTTATCAAACACACTCAACCACTCTCTCTGTCTATCTATATCTCTCTCCAGCTGTAGGAAGAATGGTCATGTTCTGACCCTTCACTCCCACTAAAGCTAGTTGCGACAAACTGGTGCAACTGAAGAATTAGAATGGGATTTCACTGGATATAAGCACTCAACATGTGCATTCTGAATTATCTCTAGTTATTATAGTGGAACATAAATTAATGCCTCTAAATCTACTTTGAGATTACAAATGTTCCAAATAAAAAATAAATAAAAATCGGCTTATGACTATTAGGTAGATTTCAGTACTATTATACAAGAACGACTTAGAACAGCAATACAGCTGCTGCCAAACATGTCTGATTGTGTAAGTGTTCCCCCCTATATCATTTCCCCCCAAAGCTTCTAGAGAGCTTCTAAAAGGGAAAGAACAACTGATAGGGATATGGGCATTCAAATACAGTAACTAACTAAATAAATAAATAATATTTAACTCGGTGATTTTCTTTCAGTCATCAAATTATTTGTGTTATTGAAGTCTTTCATGGCCGGAATCACTCGGTTACTGTGAGTTTTTCGGGCTGTATGGTCATGTTCCAGAGGCAATCTCTTCAGACGTATCGCCCATATCTATGGCAGACATCCTCAGAGGTTTTGAGGATTCCAACTAGGCAAGTGAGGTTTATATATCTGTGGAATATATAGAGTGAGAGAAAGAACTCTTGTCTGTTGGAGGCTAGTTTAAATGTTGCAATTGGCCACCTTGATTAGCACTGAATAATAATGATAATAATAATAATAATAATAATAATAATAATAATAATAATACTTTATTTGTACCCCGCTACCATCTCCCCAAGGGACTCGGTGCGGCTTACATGAGGCCGAGCCCAAATACAACAATACAAGCTAAAATAACAACAATACAAGCAAAACATGGACAATAAAATAATACAACATTAACAATAAGACCACACGATTAAAACTGTGGGAAGGCCAAATGTAAAATTAAAATTGAAAGTAATGCTGGAACATGGGCGAAAAAGTGATGGGGCATTTGTGGAAAACATACAAGCAGACCTAAAAATGTAAAGTGCTTTGGAGGACAAAGTGCTATGGAATCATTATTCTGGGAAGGCACACTGGAACAACCACGTCTTCAAGCTCCTCCTAAAGACTGCCAAGGTTGGGGCCTGTCTGATGTCCTTAGGAAGTGAGTTCCAGAGTCGAGGGGCCACCACCGAAAAGGCCCTCTCTCTCATCCCCACCAATCGCGCCTGTGATGCAGGTGGGATTGTGAACAGGGCCTCTCCAGATGGCTGCTTCCTGCCTGGGGAAATCCTTTGTTAAGAGGTGTTAGTTGGTTCTGATTGTTTCACGTCAGGAATTCCCATTTTTTGAGTGTTCCTCTTTATTTGCTGTCCTAATTTTAGGATTTTTTTAAAAATACCAGTAGCCAGATTTTGTTCATTTTCATGGTCTCCTCCTTTCTGTTGAAGTTGTCCACATGCTTGTGGATTTCAATGGCTTCTCTATGTAGTCTGACATGGTGGTTGATCACCATTCTATACTAATCAAGATGGCCAATTGTAACATTCACACTTTCCTCAAACAGACAAGAGTTCTTTTTTTCTACCCTGGACATTCCACAGATATATAAACCTCACTTGCCTAGTTTCCAATAGACCTCACAACTTCTGAGGATGTCTGTCATACAGCCCGGAAAACTCACAGCAACCCATCAAATTATTTATTGGAAGTGCTGGCAAGAAGGCATGAGTTCACCCCATATCAAGGTTAGAGAACACGTGGCTCTTGTAATGGGTTTGAACTGAGGGTGCTTTGATTCTTCGGAACTCACTACCTGGTGAGATTAGATAAGCCCCCTCCTTAGCAGACTTCAAGAAAAACTTGAAAACTTGGCTTTTCCGATGTGCCTTTGGAGAGTGACCATTTATTTTACTTCTGTTGGCCCCATCTATAGTGTTGCCCCTATGATGCACTTTCCCCTCCCTAAATTGAAAGCCTTACCCCACTGTTTTATCCTTCTTGGGCTCCCCTCACTTACACATTTCTCTACCCCTACTTCATCCAGGGTTTTATCATTTTATTTCATCCATTTGGCCTGCCCTTCCTGTTTGATTTTATATTGTGTTAATTTGCTTTATTGTTTTGTTTGCTGCTGTAATTATTTTCTGATGTAAGTTTTGTTTTTTGCACTCTGTATTTTATTGTGTGTATTGTATTTTTTTGGTTTGGCCTCATGTTAGCCACCCCAAGTCTCCATTGGGGAGATGGTGGCGGGGTATAAATAAAGATTATTATTATTATTATTATTATTATTTTACTGACACAAAAACACAGTATGTCACAGCAAACGAGATATATATGCTGGATTTTGTATCACAAAATCACAAGTCAAACACTTCCCAAGCGTCTAGGACTGTGTGATGTATTTTCGAATGATGTGCACAGATCCAAGTAAGGTGGCCTTTGCAGTTGACAGACTGTGATTTTGTTGATGTTTATTGTTATTATTATTATTATTATTATTATTATTATTATTATTATTCTATGTTCCTTCCTGGCAGAATGAGGTTGGACTGAGTGGACCTTGGGAGGTATCTTCCAACTCTTGGGTTTCATGAATCTCCATAACTGCATCCATTCTACACTGTAGATGCACTTTTTGTTTCTGCTCTTTATCCTATTTGGTTCATGAACACATTCAAATGGAGATTTGGGGATTCTCTTTTAACCTACCTGAAAGAGATTCCACTTGACAGAAAGGAAGAACTTAATGATGGCAAGAACCATTGGACAGTGGGAAATGCCACCCTGGAGTGGAGTGGAGTCTCCATCTCTGGAGGTTCCTGAGCTGAGGCTGGATAGCCATCTATTGAAGGTGCTTTGATTCTATGTTCCTTCCTGGAAGAATGAGGTTGGACTGAGTTGTCCTTGGGGATATCTCCCAACTATTAGGTTCCATGAATCTCCATAACTGCATTTATTCTACACTGTGGATGTACTTTTTGCTTCTCCTCTTTATCCCATTCGGTTCATGAACACGTTCAAATGGAAGTTTGGGGATTTCTCTTTTAACCTACCTGGTCTCCAGTGGGATATTACTGTTGAGGACCCAGCTGTTATGGAGATGCACCGAGTCCTGGTTGCTGGATGGTGGAGGGGGAGCAGCGGGGCTTGGTTGGCTGCGAGTGGTCAAGGATCGGCCTTGGAGAGAGTCGGTTGTTGAAAGTGGTTTCCGGCTACAGGTACATGCGTGAGGTGGCGGTGGCGGTGGTGGCAGCGGCCGAAAGGTAAACTGGTTGCGTGGGCTTCCTGGCATGTCTAAATCCATTGGGAGGTGGGGAGAAGGAAATGGAGAAATAAAGCAAACAAGAGAGTCCAGGTTATTATTTGAGGCAACAGCAGAAGAGGCGAGTGTCTGCCTCTAATAGGATTACATACAATGCTCGGATCAATCTGTCACCGAAATGCAATTGTCACTTATGAGCTCACGTAAAGCACGCATGCAAAACAGAGAACATCCCCTGGCTTTGAATCTATATGCAAACCACAGTGAGCGCCACCAAGATAAAATAAATGAAGTGACTGATGCAATTTGTCATAAAGTTCTGTGCTTCCTTTTCCTTTTTTTTTCCTTTTTGGAATAAAGACGAATCAATCACAGGCCGGGAGTGGGACGCAGCTGAGATGCGCCTTGATTTCATCAATTGGAAATCCCATTTAGGAAAATGGCTGTGAAAGGAACAATCATTTTGCAAAAAATACGCATCTTTTCACATTAAATCAAAATGGGACAAACCACCCAATTCTCTCAAACTTTCTTTCAATATGAACTTCTTTGGTAACTAATCTGCTCCATGGAATGAAGTAATAAAGAGCATTATGACTGCGTTGAGGGAATATACTCAAATGCATATTCGAGAAAAGAAAGGCTCCTGTGAGGAAAAAAATCAATGATTTAGAGAAATGAAAAGGATTCTGTGTGGAAGAACATAGTTAAGAGAGGACATCTTAAACTAAGGTTTTCCCGTTGCAAAAAATCATGTCATTTTCATGGTAATGCACCAAACAGTAATGCACTCAAACAGACAAGAGTTCTTTCTGCCATCCCGGACATTATTCCACAGATATATAAACTTCACTTGCTTAATTTCCAACAGACCTCACAACCTCTGAGGATGCCTGCCATAGATGTGGGCAAAACGTCAGGAGGGAATGCTTCTAGAACATGGCCAGAAAGCCACTCACAGCAACCCAGTGATTCGTGCCATGAAAGCCTTCGATAACACAATGCACCATATATTTGAAGATTTCTCCCCAAACACTACTTCCATCTTCTTCAAAAGTAGCTTTTTGTATTAAGTTTTTGATGATTTTTATTCAGGCTGAGAATCCCTTATATGAAATGCATTGGTCCAGAAATGAGATATCTGGGCATGAGACCCTAGTCTAAACACAAACTTCATTTATGTTTCTTATACACTTAACCACAAAGTAATTGTATATACAATATTTTAAATAATTTTGTGCATGAAACAAGGTATGTGTGTACACTGAACCCTTGGAAACAATGGTACTTACTTACTTACTTACTTAGGCAATCCCTCATAGTCCGAGGATGATGGTCCTCCAAGGGTGGTAACCTGGGGATGGGTCTGTAGGTGATTGTGGAGCCCTATTCTTGATCTGCATCTTCTTGCACAGTGAGGGCATCGGTTTCCAGGTGGAAGGCGGTCCCGGTCAGGGTTGGTTTGATGTGCCTTCCTCTTGGAACATTTTTCTCTTTCGCCCTCCATTTGTGCCTCTTCAAATTCTGCAGCACTGCTGGTCACAGCTGACCACCAACTGGAGCACTCAAGGGCCAGGGCCTCCTAGTTCTCAGTGTCTATGCCAGAGATTTTAAGGTTGGCTTTGAGCCCATCTTTAAATCTCTTTTCCTGCCCACCAACATTCCGTTTTCCGTTCTTGAGTTCGGAGTAGAGCAACTGCTTTGGGATATGGTGGTCGGGCATCCGGACAATGTGGCCAGTCCAGCGGAATTGATGGTGGAGGACCATCGCGTCAATGCTGGTGGTCTTTGCTTCTTCCAGCACGCTGACATTTGTCTGCTTGTCTTCCCAGGAAAGCAATGGTGTCGCTATCTCAGCCACACATGTGGACGAAAGAGTTATAACATGTGCATATACGAGGGTTATCCGGAAAATAAGGTTGCAGGATTTTAAAAAAATAATACAAGGAATGAATATATTTTAATAACACTTACATAGATTGTAGCATAGGTATTACATTATTTTTCCACATAATCACCATTCAGTTCAATATATTTTGTCATCTATGGGACGAATTTTTGATGCCTGTGTCTTAGAAGTTTCCCTCTGCCCAGGCCCGTAGCCAGGATTTCGTTTCCGGGGGGGGGGGGGGGGTGATTTTTTTTGGGGGGGTTTCGGGGGGGCTGAGTTTCGGGGGGGGCTGAGTCTGAGTGAAAGAGGGTCTAGCCTAGCAAACCTTTTGTATCATTACCCCAATACCCCCATGCATATGGGATATATTGAGTATGGTGATCAGATCATGATATTAATAAACATAACAGTTTAAATAATGCACCAGTAAGGCCTTTTCGCGAACCACCATGAGAATTTCGGGGGGGGGTGGGCTGAAGCCCCTGAAGCCCCCCGAGCCCCCCCCCCCAGCTACATGCCTGCCTCTGCCTTTTCCAACCAGTTCGCCACTTCGATTTTCACCTCATCATTGTCGGAAAAGTGTTTCCCACTAGGATGTTCCTTCAATTTAGTGAACAGATTATAGTCAATGGGTGCAAGATCGGGGCTGTTAGAGGGATGGCTTAAAACATCCCAACCAAATGAAGTCAACAACTCTTGTGTTACATAAGCGGTGTGCAGATGTGCATTGTCATGAAGGAGACAGACTTGCGCCATCAGCATCCCATGATGTTTGTTTTGGATGGCTCTATGAAGTTTTTTCATGGCTTCACAATATATTCCATACCCATTTTGTCACATGCTGTGTTGATAGTAGGTACATCCTCTTCATAAACTGAAATGATTTCGTGATTAATTGCAGTGGTGTTCATGCCCTTAGCATTTGGGTAGCATATTTTGTGCTTGGAGGGAAATGGAATGAGGATGCTCATCTGTAACCTTCACCACAATGGCAGTTGATGAGCTACTGACAACAGGCACTGCTCGTTCACTTCTGCTGGCTTCCCACTACATGGTAGTGATACTAACTTCCCCTGTGAAAATTCCCCACGAGAGCTACACGCGTTGTAACCTTATTTTCCAGATAACTCTTGAAATAATATAGTTCACCATAAGAACACAAAATTAAGAATTAAATATTCAACTCATAGGTGCTTCCTTCTTGTTGTTCTTGTTGTCCTTCTGGGGGCTTCTCATTTTGTATTTTATATCATATTCAAGAAAATGAAGGGTAAACATTTTCTCATTGTTGTTAAATTACTTTTTCTTTGCTTTTATAATTTTCCTGTCAGTGCTGCATAATCACGGGCCGCTAATTCAAATACCAATCTCTTTAATACATTATCTTTCTTCTTCTTCAACAGAAATACTAATTAAAAGAGAAAGTCCCTCCAGCTATTAATTAATTACTGTTCCTCACACCATTTGCAGCGTATTAAATGCAAAATTATTTGTAAACGCAGCTAAGTCTGTAATGGAATTATTTTCCTATCAGATTTGAAGAATTTAAGGATCACTACATCCTTGGCATCCACAAAACAAGAAAATAATCAAACTGTTTCATCATTTCCTGACAGAGCTATAACACTGCCAGTTTTGTTCAGCACCGAAGTTGCATATTTCAGAGAATATATTAAAAAGTGATGAACTTTACAAGTTTTGCATTTAATCAGTGGGGCTCTACAAATATTCTAATTCATTTCTGCCAACAAATCTGTTTTTACTGGTATTTTTTTTCTTTCCAAAATATAAATGAATATCCATTATTCAATGAAGTATAAAAGCAACATATCATGCAAGTGAAGGGATGGGAAATGAGTTTGCATTGTGTATCTCCTGCAATAACTTTGGTTTCATTCAAGCCTTACAAAAGCCTCAGTAGACATTTAGTAATTTATTTAGGTAGAATAGGTTGACCTGTTCTACCCTGGAGAGTGGAACAGTTCAACAAGGAGTGCATCTACTCTCAGGCCTGTAGCCATTTTTTAACCTTGGTTTACTCATGCATTTTAGCAGGTTAACCAAATTTTCATGCTAAGTCCATGAGAAGCAAAAATTAAAAGTCCCTCCAGAACTTCAAGCGCTATCTCAAACCAATTTGGACAATTTATTCACACTTATTTATTTATTTATCATGTCAGGCAACCAAACAGTTGTATTACATTTTTGACAGAACAAACAAACAAGCATATAAAAGACACAGAGTCTGCAAGCTTGGTAGTTGATTAAATGTCCTTTGACCAGTATCTGGCCACTTGGAGTGCTTCTGGTGTTGCCGCAAGGAGGTCCTCCATTGTGCATGTGGTAGGGCTCAGGTTGCATTGCAGCAGGTGGTCTGTGGTTTGCTCTTCTCCACACTCGCATGTCGTGGATTTCACTTTGTAGCCCCATTTCTGAAGGTTGGCTCTGCATCTCGTGGTGCCAGAGCGCAGTCTGTTCAGCGCCTCCCAAGTCGCCCATTTTCTGTGTGCCCAGGGTGGAGTCTCTCATTTGGTATCAGCCATTGGTTGAGGTTCTGGGTTTGAGCCTGCCACTTTTGGACTCTCGCTTGCTGAGGTGTTCCAGCGAGTGTCTCTGTAGGTCTTAGAAAACTATTTCTTGATTTAAGTCATTGACGTGCTGGCTGATACCCAAACAAGGGATGAGCTGGAGATGTCACTGCCTTGGTCCTTTCACTATTGGCTGCTACTTCCCGGCGGATGTCAGATGGTGCAATACCGGCTAAACAGTGTAATTTCTCCAGTGGTGTAGGGCGCAGACCCCCCGTGATAATGCGGCATGTCTCATTAAGAGCCACATCCACTGTTTTAGCGTGGTGAGATGTGTTCCACACTGGGCATGCATACTCAGCAGCAGAGTAGCATAGCGCAAGGGCAGATGTCTTCACTGTGTCTGATTGTGATCCCCAGGTTGTGATCACACTATTATTACCTATCATTCCACCAATTTACATTGCAATCGCTGCAATAACCGATATAGTGGAAGCTACCAAGTTGGCCCACCTGTAATAAGCAGGCAAAGCTTAAGGTGCAAGGGGAAATTTGAAGGCACCCATGAAGGAGACCAGACGGTTCACAGGGGTGGAGCTGTAGGCTATTTAAG